AGATAGGAATTTCCTCATTTCCATCAAATTGTTTTATGTAACAATAAACAGTTGAAAAGTTAGAGGTTCACATAGCTAAAAATTTGGCATATAAACATGCACTCGATGGTCTGTAAGATTCTTGCCCACGCTGAGACACAAAAGCCCTTCAATGCAGGACTTCCCCTCTAACTCTTCTAGCAATCTAGCAAACTCTTGTTTAGATCTTACTCTACTGATAACTGCTCCGTCTTTATACATTAACTTATTTAATCTTCAGAGAAACTCTATGAAATAAGTATTGTTATCCTCCCCATTTTACAGATGAGGAAACTGAGGTGCAAAGAGGTCAAGGAATTTGTTCAGAAAACACAAGCGGCAAAGCCAGTGTATAAACTTAAATACTCTGGCTCCAAAGATAGAGCTCTTATTCACCATGAGAAGAAATCTCCCCAGCTTCTGTGGGAATACTTCTAGAGAAGAGGAACTCATTAACACACAGACAGCTTGACTCACTTTCACATAGGTACTCTTCTAGTCACTTGGGATTTAAAAATTCATAAAACATATTCATACTCCTAATCAGCTTATAGTGTAACAGATAAAACATCATATTGTATTTCCATTGGTTTATTACCTTTCTAATTGTTAGACTAAGAAGTAAAATAATGTTACTAGACTGATTACAAAATACTTTGTAAATTATATAAATATCTAACCACTATGCTTTACACCTGAAATTAATATAAAATAATGTTGAATGTAAACTGCAATTGAAAAAAAATAAAAATAATAATGTGTTATAGAGGCACAAAATAGGAGATTTATTCTACTTGGAAAAATGGAGGAAATATTTTTACAGGAGGTTACAGTTGATGCTTACTTTGAAAGTAAAATTCATTGCTACAGTTTAATTGAAAAATGTCTTCTGGATTTCCAGCATTAAATACACAAACAAACATATTACTTTGCTTGTTAACCCAGCCTTATACAATACAAGAAATAAATATGAATTCTGCAAATAAACATCAGAATTATCTAACATATGGAATCTTCTCATAGACGAACTTTTTAATCTATTAATAATGTGATTAATAACTGATTATTCTTTATATGTACCTCTTACTATTCTAAATGTCTCACATATATAAATTCACTTAATTTTTCCAATCAGCGTATGATTTAAGTACTGGAAAATGAGACATGATGGAGTTCAGTAGCTTTCAAAAGCCACAGTGCTAGTATATGTATGGCAAAGTAAAAGACTAAACCCAAGCAATCCATATCTGTAGAATATGTCAAACCACTACACAGTACAACCTCTGCTAAAGAAAAATTTTTCCTTATGAGTGAACCTACTCCTTTTGACCTTAACAATCAAAGTATTAAATACTTGAT